CTACACCTAAGGACCATAAATATATATGACATTAGTCTAAGTTCTCTCCTTACCCTGAGCTGATTGTATCCCACCATACCCAGAACAAATAATGTGGGGTATTGCAGTGGGTAAAAAGGGTACACCCCATGTAACTTGAGATACAAATAACTTACAAATTTGTTTTGTACCTTCTCCAGCATTAGATCGTACTTCTTCTCATGTGGAGCCCAAATTATTGAATTACACTCCAAATTACTCCGAACTAGTGTGTTGTACAAAGCTATAATAGCTTGCACATTTGTGAAACCGTTAACCATTCTTAACGTAAAACCTAGAGTTCTAAAAGCATTTTTACATGTTTATACATGTAAATTTGATGATTTCATCCCTTGACCTATTGGATCCGCAACTTAAAACATTTGCCTGTTTCATGGCCCCATATTCCTTTACCTTATCAGCCGCGGTAATCTGCATTGGTTTGTATTTTTTAACTGCATCAACAAATGATACAGATGGTTCTTTAGGTGACATTTGCTGGTTATTTGATGCCATTATATTCCTTTTTTTAATGCCGTGGCTTCTAATTCCATATTTTTCTCATTAGTTCTTCAATTTTAGTCTCTAATGCTTCTATTTTGCTGGCTTCTTGTTGCACTACCCTCAATACTTCGTGTAACTCGTTTTCTGTTTTTATCAGTTTACCTTGTAATAGTGCATATTCCTTATTTTGTTCTTCAAGTTTTGTGTTCATTTCTCTTCTAAACTCCCTCAATTCGTCAAGAAGTTTATTCTCTATAGCAGAAACCATTATTTCCTTGGTATTTTTACTAGTATCGGTACGTTCGTTATTTACGAAATTGCTAGTTGTAAATGTTTTGTTCGTGATAATATTATTGCAACGTACCGGTGTTTCGGTGTTATCCTTCTTCGGAATAGTACATACACACTCCGGGCATATCCACGTATCCTTATATTCCTGCGAGAGGGTATCAAAACTTTCTTCCTGTATAGCAAGACACTTCAGATGGTAAAGCTTCTTGCATAATTGTTGCGAACACTTCATGTACAAAACATCGTAGATTAGGGTATCGCACCCAGCGCATTTAATTCCCATTTGGGAGATTCTTCTACGTAAATAAATTTATTATACACTATTACACTTTTAACCCATATATGCCCAGAACTATTTTTGAATTCTGATTTTGATTATTTCAAGATATGTTTATGCTGATAAGTCCTTATATCAGTATTGACTAATTTTAGTAAAAAATATTTTTAGTAAGTAGGTATTTTAGGGGTGTTCGAAAACGAAACGACGGGCAAATATCCTACATTCGTTATAGGTAATTAAAACAAAGATGTATAATGAGATTATTTATTACTTATTACTATTTTAAACTAAATTGCAATATGAAATTAAGAATGAAATACAGAGAAACATTTAGAATGTAAATTTACTTTACATTTTTGACAAAAAGTGACTGTAAGGCTTTTGCAATAGGCACATCGCAGTCTACTTGGTGCCCTGCCGATCATGTGCTCAGCGTTATGCTTTCGTACTGATGTAGGTACATTTGTAGATACCCGTTTGCTAGGTCCCGGATGTTGCTTATCATTGCCATATTTTTGAAGTAAGGTTCTGGCAATGCTACGTCTAAATTCCAGCGTATCTATATCTTTGGAGAAATTACGAGCTAGTAGGGTAGCATTGTTGACCGCAACGTCTATCAACCAGAAAAGTAACGGGATATACCATTTTTTGCCCCTAATTGCTATTCGATAGGTACCAATGTTTGCATCTAACCGATCAACCCCTCCCATAAAACGATTGTATTGGTGCACAACGTTGGGTTGTGGTACATTTACTCTTTGCTTTTGAGCAGCTGAGTATCTCCTTGCAGTTTGTATAGGCTCCACGCCGTATTCACTGGATAACAGAGTGACTACACTATTATCGTTCCAGCGCACTGCACAGATGCCGCTGTTTAGATCGAGCCGGCTGTCATGGTAACCTCGCTGTTCCTTCTTACATAATTTTTCATCTTTCAAAGGACACTTGTCAGTGCGATTACTACGTACTGTACCTGTCACTAAAATATTTTTTTCTTTCATTGCTGTTATCAACGGTAATCCTGTGAAGAAGTTGTCGCAGAAAACTGAGAATCTTGTTTCTTTGTAGACATTCTGAATCTCGGTCATCAATTTTTGCACAACATATTGTCCTAACCCGGTACTAAAAGTTTCATAGCGGCCTTGATATGGGTCGGCGTATAAGCAATATCCTAAGGGCAAGGCTGCAATCCATGTTTTGAAGCCAAATCTAATAGGCTTACCTCTGATATGCTGCTTACATCCGTGTCTACCATAGTAAGGTATCATAGACTCGTCTATGCTGATGTTCTTTTCGATTACGGCATATTGCAGAAACTTTTTATTGAGTAAATCAAAAAGTGGGCGGACTTTAGCCATTTTGTCATTAGGGCAAAGGTTGATATTATCGACCACATGGAAATGCCGAAGAATCTCTTCGAATCGGTTTCTTCGCATGGATTTCGCCACTAAGATATTGTGTGTGTCTTCGTTACTTTCCCAATACATCCGACGTCGCGGCAGTGGAGAATATCCGGTCAATATCAAAATGCCGATGAAACAATAAATGTCATTATCAGAAAGGGTAAACCCTGGGTTTCCTTTTTGAACTGCATAAATAACAGAGTGACGAACAATGTGCATGATAACTTCGTGACTAAAAAACAATTCAAAGAAATCAACTGGTTCTGAAGCTTCGGATAAGGTAATTACTGATCTAGGTAATGGTGCAATCCACTCATCATGAAGTTGGGATAAGTCTCGTTTTACCCATTTTCGGACTACCTTAGGCGATCGAGGTGGCGGTGGAGGTGGAAAAGGAGGATTATCTATCAATGACCGGCTCCGCCTACGGTTTGATAAAGACTGTGAGTCAGTCACAGTACGTGACGTAATTGGGCCTAAAGCTTCTTCTTCAGACTCGCTGCCGTCACTGACGTTTTTTCCATGTAGTGTCAGTTCAGCAGGTGCCAAAAGTTGACCACGTGATAAATTTTCAAAACTTACGTTTCTTTCGTCCCCCGAGTCCGAATCTGACACAAGTCCATCACCCGGAGAGTCGATATAAATGTCAGCTGCTGTTGCTTCATCATCCGAAGCTAAATCATTGATAATATCAACGATTTCATTTGTAGTTAACCACGTATTCCACCTAAAACATAAAAACAGATTTAGTAAAAGTCTCACCTGTATATTTGCCCAACGTATCGTTTTCGAAACACGAAAGTTATAAAGACGTTATAGGTATTTATTAAATAGTATTTACTTATTTTAAAAATACGAATAAGATCATTATTTACCTAAAATTACTACAAAATTTTGAAAAGTACAAAGTTTCACTCAATTGAACAAGTACTTACTTCTTTTTGGGAGACGACATGATTTTTGCGCGACGTAAAACAGGACACAACTTGCACTACTGACTATTTAAATCAAGTGTCAACGCTACTCAAAACGCTTCGTTGCAAACAAAAGGTAGTTCCGTAGCCTTGCACTAGATGGCAATTTTTTGCATTTTACTGCGCTAGCAAAGGATTTCCAATGGATTTACGAAAGTACAAAATCTTGTTTCGTTTTCGAATCACGGGGCATATATGGGTTAAATGCGTCCGTCTGCTTAGACGCCTGACACGCTTTTTATTATAAAATATTATATCTTAAGTACCTATTAAAATGGTGATAAACGTTTTGTTTTATTTAATTTTATCCTTCTGTGCCAACCCTACCAAAATAGGTAAAAAATTTGACAGCTCCTTAGAAGCTTTGCCTGTGTACGGTTTCTTTACTCATGTGGCAGTAGTTAAATGTAGTATGACAGTGTCTAACAATAACCATGGGATTCTCTTACTCTACCATTAAATGAAGATACCTTTGTGACTTTGTCCAGAGGATGTAGATGTCCTAGTGAAGATAAATTATACCACTATTTTTACAGTAAAATTGTTTAGCTTGTAATGTGTATTTTCATCTTAAAAACCAAAAACTAATAGCAAATATACTGATTTTCTGAAAACAACTTTATCATTAAAGGAGTGAAAGAAAATGTTACTCTCTTAAGCCTAAAAACATAAGAGTGAAAACAAAAGAGAATTTACTAGTTCCGGAAAAAGGCAACAGACGAAAATGAAACAGGAGATGGTTAGCAGAATCTTCTTGATAACATGCAAAATATTTACAAAAAAACTACAGTTGCCAACCTGTTCTGTGTGTGATCTGTTGCATGATAACATTGGCAAATATCCTTTAAGGCAATCTAACGGGGGAAATATATTTATCCCCAATTAAGAATTAAAATGCGGCTCCGTGGCGCAGTGGCTTAGCAATGAGTTGTTGCGCTGGGGGCTGCGGGTTCGAATCCCGCACGGAACAAGTATTTGTATGGCCTACAAATAATTGTTCCGGGTCTGGATGTTTGTCCTTGTGCAATTTATGTTTGTAAACTGCCTCCACGATACAGGAGAAAATCCTAGTGTGGTGGTAACGTTTAAAAAAAATGCAAAGGTGTTGGCACCCCTGAGGACTAACATGGAATGCCTCGTTTCCAGTAAAAAGGGTCTCCGGTTCTCTACTGTGATCATACGAAACACAGCAGCATTAAGCTGGTATTCTGTGAGAATGTGGCCCTACCCTAATCGCGCAGATCCATTCGTACCACAACCATAATATAGCTGCAGCTTGGCTCTGCCACGTATAAAGTCACGATACCACGTATTAGCGTCAAAGATGCGAAACGCCTGGTACTACGATCTGACTGCCTAGTGCGACGATTCAGGAAAATCCTCCCTATGATAGGAAATGCCAATGTTCAGCAGTTGGCTTTACGGGCTGATGATGAAGTAGAATAATGACTAAATATTCCTCACAAAGTATCTTAAATACACAATATATCGGAGTAAAATACACAATATTCATTTAGGTCTTTTACACAGACTCATACCGAAGCAACGATCCGACGACCAGTGGGAATAACTCGCCCGGTGCCAGCATTTGTTCCGACTCTGAGTTACCATACATATCATATACAGTGGACCGACCGATTGGAGGTATTTTTACTTATTCATTGTATTATTTTTTTTTCATTTTTAATCAATTTTATTTCACGTTTAAAAAATATGCATAATCAAAAATGCTGACTTTATCACTAGACTATATTTTATTCTCAAATGTTTAGGTGTCATTTTGTTTGCCTAGATTCTAGAACAATGTAAATCTGTCATGCTAATCTTTATGCACAAGTCAATTAAAAAGAAATTACCATTTCCTTAGATTCACCAAAAGCAACAAAGAACCAAAGAACCACCGACAACAAAAAGTCACTTCTCCAAAGGAGACAAATGAGTTTACAAGCGAGGAAGAATAAACGGGCTCATGATATTGTAGTTGTTAAACCAGCAACTGATACCCAATTAGATGAAGACATACAACGACTTCAGGTGAGATCAGATTTACAGGACCTAAATGAAGACATTGTGATTAATCCCTAATAATTTTACACTATTACATTTCTTTATCAGCCATAAATGCCTTACCTTAGTTGTCACACTTGAGACAGATTGGTAATAAGTAAAAGATATTTTATCAGCCATCTTACCTTAATCACCATGCTTACGACATTTTGGTGATGACAAAAAATGTCTCACCCATAAATTGTATTATCAATAAGTGATCTGCTGAGTCAAATAGTCACAACTTCTTGCTAAAATTATGTCATTTTTTTATAGGAGAGGGGGCAAACGAGCATAGGGCGCACCTGATGGTAAGTGATTACCGCCGCCTATGAACAACTGCAACACCAGAGAAATTGCAGATGCGTTGCCGACCTTTTAAAAAGGAGTACGCTATTTTCTTGAAGGTCCCTAAGTCGTATCGGCCCGGAAAAATCTCTGGTGATGGTAGTCGATGGCATTTGCGTTAAGATATAAATATTTTTGAAATCTGTCGCATGTCATTAGAGTTCATTATTGGTATTCTTGTAAGTGAACTAAAAATAATCACGGGATGGAAATTGTGTGAATTTTTAACGCCGTAATCACATGACTTGAATTAACCGGTACAGAACGCCTAAAGACATGAATTCAGCCTTTTATATTCTTATACATTAAGAGGTATTCAATAAAACATAAATACTTTTTTTGTTATTTGCCATTGTTGCCACGCTTGCGGTCGGGTTGGCAACCGCAGTTTATTATAATTAGGAGGACGCTACTGCCCGTATCCTAGTTTGTTTCTCTCTGTCTTCTCTTATATCTCGATATATATCGATATCCGTGTAGTAGATATTCTTACACCGTCAGTCACTACAAGGTAGTTTACCATCGCATATGCATATGTGTTCTTTACAACATTCTGCCTTTTTGTATGTTTCCAAAAACCATTTGCATTTTTTAAATTTACTTCTAGGAAATTCCCACCTTTTTGCCTATAATGCGGGGAACTCTTGGTCTACCTGGTGCTCGTGATCCAGAAGTGATAGCGGGTAAGATAAAAGTTGTTTTTCGTATTAGATGTATAATTATTTCAGTGGCTTATACTGTGCTTTTGGTTTTTATGTAAGTGTTTTCTTATTATGAAACGGGTATCCAGTTTTTCCCACCATACGAAACTATTAACGTACAACTATTTGTGATAACTGTATTTTAAAATAAATAAATAATAAATCATACCTTTATTTCGGTAATCTTGTTAGCAACATAATACTGAGACTTCCCATTGAGTAATCAGAGGATACTCGTGTTGGGAATGACCCCCTACTTCCCTTAAGGATTGTAAGATTACAAAAAGTTTAACCTCTAGAAAATTTGTAATTAGTATGTGTATATTAAGGAGTGTGTGAATGTGAGTGAAGGAGTGTTGTTGTATATATGATGTGAGGGTGTGTGTGTGTGTGTGTGTGTGTGTGTGTGTGTGTGTGTGTGTGTGTGTGTGTGTGTGTGTGTATGTGTTGGTGGATGAAGAAAGTATAAGTAAGAAGAATAGTTGCCGTGCAAAATAAAATTTTACTGATCAAATATGAAAGACGGCATACTGTTAGACTGTTACCTGTAAATGTACAAGATGTTGGTGAAATAGATTTCAGACAACTCCATTTAAAAGGCAATAGTAATTAACAATGTCCTCCAGACTGATTTCGGTCACGGCGGCCGGACTCAACGGAGACTAGCCATCTGCGCAGGACAGCATTATAGTGACCAAATTGTATGTGCAAACACAGGTGCACTTTCTATTCCCTCACTCCCAAAATCCAATGGGACGGTAATCCAATACGACCGGAGAGAGATCAGACCAATGGCTGTACGTGCTTTCCGAGGCATGGAGCCGAAACACCGCCAACTTTCTGACTCCGCGTCGCTATCGAGAATTTCTTGCAGAAAAACCCAATAACTGATTTTGGTCCGACCCGGGATTCTAACCCAGAACCAGGATCAGCAATTGCGTTTTTTTATACTATAAGGGTGACAAACGAGCACACAGTCCACCTGATGGTAAGTGGTTGCCGTGGCCCATACAAATCTACATCTATCTTTGTTTGCGAATTAAAATGCAGATGCGTTGCCAGCCATGAGGACTAAGATGGAATGCCTCTTTTCCAGTAAAGTGGTCTCCGGTTCTCTACACTCACCATACGAAACACAGCAGCATTAAGCTGCTATTTTACGCTGGTACGCTGGTATTCTGTAAGAGCGTGGTCCTTCCCCGGTCGAGCCGACCCATTCGTGCTACAACTATACTATTAATGCAGCATGGCTCTACCACGTATAAATATGGCTATACCACGTTTATGATCACTGGACCAACTAGGCAGCAATAGTAATTAATAATATTCACTCATTCATTACAACCCGTCTAATGTCCACCGCTGAATGTAAGCCTTCTCCATAGATTGTCTCATAGGGGGATATCTGTCATTGTTGTCACGTATGGCAGGCGGGTTATCAGCTGCAGTTTTCTTAATATTATTGCCGTGTAGTGGCAGCAGTAAGCGAATGCAATACAGGGTAGGCCCACAGGAAGATTTAGGTAGTGACTACCGTATATCTTTCTGTGGTTGCCGTAATAGGCGACAGAGCGAAACTATAACAGAAGGTTTCTGCAGCAGCATCTTACTGATTAGGACGCAATAGTAATAAATATACAAAATAAATAGTACATACCTAATAAAATAACTTATAGGTTTGGACTACAGACCTTGGGTGCGTATGACGACACGGTTACAAGCGCACCTGTCGGCATGTGCACAACCGTTGGCCGCGGATGAAATCAATCTCGCCGCTAAAGTGAAAGAGGTATTAATATTTTTTTTATATCCATTACTATCACTATATTGTGATAGACATAACTGCTGTGCAATTATGTAACTCTAAAAATAGAATTTCTTGGGCAACCTATTAGATTATAACACACACAACCTATTTTTATTTTGACGGATAATTTTAATTAAATAAAGATTTGAAAGTGTTATCATTAATTTTTGTTGATTTTTTAAATAATGGTCGACACAAATTTCTGGGGCCCACTTGGAAATTATACTTATATATTTTTTAAGCTACAAACGCAAGTTCGAAATCCCTACTGTTGCCCAAGATTGCACCAACTGGCATGCAAACGGACGAAACGGAAAATTATTCGCTTCGTCTTCACGACAAGGACACTTTAAATGTAATATAATAATGTGTTTTTTTTTTAATTTATTCATTCATTACAGCCATCAAAAGTTCTCTGTTGATCCACCGAGTTCTCTGTTGTTCTTATCGTGAAGATGCTTCTGCCCATTTCTTATATCGTACTCCCTTTTTGCTTCTTACGAAACGCACAGGATATTTTTATAGGGTAGGGTGACAAACGAGCACACAGTCCACCTGATGGTAAGTGGTTGCTGTGACCCATAGACATCTACATTTATTTTCAATAAAGAATCAAAATGCAGATGCGTCGTCACGTGTGAGGACTAAGATGGATTGCCTCTTTTCCAGTAAAAAGGGTCTCCGGTTCTCTACACTCACCATACGAAACACAGCAGTGTCAAGCTGCCATTTTACGCAGGTATTCTGTGAGAGCGTGGTCCTTCCCCGGTCGAGCCGACCCATTCGTGCTACAACTATACTACTAATATAGCTGCAGCATAGCTCTACCACGTATGAAGGATGACTTAAAGAAGTGGATTCTACGCTACCACCATAAGAATAAATACGATCGGCAATATGAGACTGTACTAAGACGTATAATACTTTTCCAGTTTTCTACTTCGGGCTCAGTGTAACCCTCCCTCGCATACATCTGTATTACTACTTTATGTCTCTTTCTCTCTCTCTGTCTCTGTCTCTCTCTCTCTCTCTCTGTCTCTTTCTCTCTCTCTGTCTCTTTCTCTCTCTCTCTCTCTTTCTCTCTCTCTCTTTCTCTCTCTCTCTCTCTCTATAAAATTTAACCGGCACTTTACACATACAAATTCTTTACTAGTTAATTGTCCATATATTTCTTTGTCATTAACAGGCTGATGTAGAGATCTCCCGTCTCTATTCGCAAACAGTTGAAAGACAGAGAGCGAACGCGCGACACGCTGAGAGGCTGTCACGTGTACGCGAAGTCTCTCATCAACTGTCCAGGTGCAACTCCTTGCTCAATCAGGTGAATGAAACGATTTTTATAAGTATATTTTCTTCATATTATTCATTCTTACTTAAAAAAAAAAAAACATTTCTTTGTATATTTCTATCCTTTTCTTCGAAGACTGCTCTATCAATTTTTAGGAATTAAAAAGAATATTTTATGCCTTGTCTGAAAAACTATAAATATTTCGTAAACATGTAAAGTCCACCAACACGTGTTGGATTTGTGTGGTGCACTCTTTCATGCTCGAAACTTTCTCACAGTCCTCTCAGACTGTGCCCAGCAAAAAGACAACTGTTACGTTTATAAAATGTTGCTATTTTTACTTTTTCTTTTTAGTCTTTGTTCGACCCGTATGTATGTACATATTATGTATGTTTGCGATTATCTGAATACAAAAAAAAAGCAATTAACTAATTTTGATTATATTTTATTAACTTATACTTTATAAAAGTCGGTTATTCTTTTTTAAAACTAGTTTTCATTAGATGTTGATTAAATTATAATTAGTTCATTTAAAATAGTAGATATTTACAGTGTCTTTATTATTTATTTACAACACTAAAGGTATTTAAAATAAAAACACAACTTTCTGCTTCCACTACATTTATTCGAGCAGATCTATAAATTTAAAATTCTAAATAAAATGATATAATATGCACTCGATTTTAGGCTTTAAAAAACAATAACATTTGAATTGTATCAAATATCAGATTTTGTAATACATCGTTTTCGAAAGAATCAGTATAATACCTATATCGTTCACGCTCTGTCCACGTGGCGAATCTAGCCATCGACCGATACGAAGCGATATAGGCATAACGGTGATACGCAAATATCAGATTTTGTAATATATAGTTTTCGAATTAGTATACGGCTTGCATCGCCCAACTCTAGTAGTTATTATCGATCATGTATACGTGTTGCGTAATTAATAATACCAATAAGCATACGAAGTTAACACGTTATACACTCATAACCTAGTTTATACTTTGTTCTTATAATAATAACATCGATTTTTGTTTACAGACTCTGCAAGACATTGAGGAGCTGAATCTTATTCTTCCCGAAGATAAGAGGCTAGAACCATTCGTGTGGAACGAACAACGTTGCTCATAATTAGATATATATTAATATTGCGTAGTTAGAAAATTGTTATATTCTGTAATGTAAGTTATATTATTGTAAATAATAATGCTGCTAACATTTACAAATAATACTTGAGACGATCTCGTTTTTCTTCGTGTTTAATATTGCGCGTTTTTGCTAGAGCTTGTTATTATAATAATAAATTGTGCACTAATCTGGTAACGGGATTGGTGCAGATACTACCAAACAGATCTAATATAGTGTACTATCATAGAAATTGTGTGATGAATCCTTTTTACGTCACCACCACATGGCAGTGACTGTATGATTAGAATGATCTTGTATGGATGTTGGCTAACTATCTATGATAACTGAAATGACGTCGACAATTTTATATTATTTTCTTTTATAACTATTATTTCGTAATACGCTAACGATTGTTAGAATGCTAAAAGACGAAAAGACAAAAACAATATGTATTACACGCTTTATAAATACATTAAAACTACCAACTATAATATGTAGTTTTCTGTTCATAATTAACCACGTCTACACCTACACTTTTGTGCAGGTACAGACGTTGTTTTTTTTATACCGTAGACTGTCAACTGTCACTTGAAAAGTACGGCTTGCAAAGAAAATTTACTTTCGTATTATACTCCACTAAACCTAATACCTTTTGACAGCTGTCAGACTTATTGGACTAAGCAAGCCAATCGAAAAATCGGTACGTACACAATATCCGATTCTTAACCGGTTCAGTGCGGGTGATACGCCAGGCGTGCCAGATTACTTTTGTGTGTGGCGTATGACACGCGAGTCGTGTCTTTTTAAAAATCGTTATAACTCGCTCAAATTTCTTTTTTGGAAAATTTATCCAGAACAAAATATTCATTATTTTGCGAGTAGTTCATGCATGCAGCTTCGTTTCTGGATATTTTGAAAATTTGAAATTTTTAGGGGTTGACAACCTTTTTTTAACGTGTACATGGTACTATTTTTACTTCGTGGGTTTTAAATCATGTTATGGAAAAATTGTCTAATAAGTAACAAATAATAGCACTCATTGCGATCGCTCACAAACTCAAGTTGTAAATAAATTTCTGGAAAACAAGTCTCCTGTTAAAAAAAAAAAACAATGCGTTTGTCTTATTGTACGTGTGATATGGTATAAGGTTTATTTTTGCTTGAAACAGTTTGAAACCGTTCATGCATAAAAAAAAGTTCGCTAATAAATAGTCTTTTGTCAATCCGCCGCCTTATAGCGCCGGCGTTTTTTTCCTTTTGAAAACACTTGTTTTGCTATTTTTACTAATTAGACGTTTTCAGATCGACTTTACTTTTACATTTGTATAACATTAAATAATATTTAACATTTGTAAATATCAATGGATGAAATACCTTATTTTTTTTTTTCAAATTAAGGTTCTTCATTGTTTGATATTTACAAATGTTATTATTAGGTGAAAATTTAATTTAATAAAAACCAAGGTGTCCAGGGTGATTTAGCCGTACCTACTTATATAAATGATTTTTTTATAACAACAAAAATAGTACAAAAGGTTTGTAATCTCTTCAATAAAAAAGTCACTTTCTCTCAATTTCAAAGAAAACGCGTAAAAAAACACGTAGTTACCGACTAAAAACAAGTATCCTTCCACTTGTAACTTATGTTTGATGTCAAATAAACTTAATTAGGTCTAAACTAGTAAAAAAAGCATAAAAAAGAACATTACTTTTACACATGGCGGATGGCACAATAGGCGTGTCATTTTTGTCTGTGGCGCTTGACACGCCCGACGTTTCATGAAATATTTGTTCGCCGCCACAGCTAAAAGTTGTCGAAAATTGGTGCCGCAACGAATCGGTTAAGAATAATCGATATCGATTCTTTAGAGTTGGTAATCACTTACAGTTTTGTTTCGATTAATACCATAATAAATTAGAAACGGATAATTTAAAACACAAGATTTATCAGTTTGTTCGTATTTATTGTTACTGCTTATGTCTAGAACTTAAGTTATATAAATTGAAAATTTGAAACTAAATTAAAAATAAATTCAATCACTTTCGATACAGTTAGTTGAACTGTCGTTGCTTAGATTAATTATTAATTAATTTTCCATAATGTAATCAAAATAAATATCTCTTTCAAAGTTATCCATAATATTTTTTTTTGTTTTCTCCATCATTTTTTGGCATGGGTACATACATGCTTTCTTCAGCAAACCTTCCATTTTCTTCACAAAGCATATGATATTTTCATTTCATGTGTGTTTAAGTAGAGTTAATAATATTATGTTGCATTTAGATCATTTCATATAAGAACTAGCCTTTGATTTGGGCCCAAATCAATTCAATAGCATTATAATGGCAGTGGCATGGTGGTGGTCTTGTGATATTCAGATGGAATAAGTTGCCAGCATCTGTTTCCTTCTAATTACAATGTGGGTGTCTTCAAAGCAAGAGTGAATAGGTTTTTGTTAAGTCAGTGCGCTTCACCATGTTAGGCTACATCACCACTTACCTGTGTGTGTTGTGGGTGGGATTGTTGAAAACGCTGGCTTAGAATAATATTAAAATAAAGAATATTTTATAAAAGGGTTATAAACTGCTTTGAATTATTATGCATCCCTTTCCTCATCGTATTCTCTTGTACTCTTTGATTGGAAGGCTAATAAAGAATTTTCTACAAATCTTCCTCCGGCGGTTCCCTCATGGCAAATTATATGGCGCCCACCTTTTCCCACGGGCACCTTCGAGCAAGATGCTGCAGTGTTATCTGTCTATATCTGCAGCACAGTATGATTGGCGTTTAACCACGTTTCATCAAAAAATATGACGTCCCAGTTGGTTATGTTTTTCATTTCTCTTAAAAATGTTATTCTTTGCAAGACTATGTCATGCCTCTCCATAATTATCTTGCGTTTATCAATTCTTTTGTATCAGAAACCCATGCGTCTTAAAATGGTTCTCAAAGACTCTACTACCATAGTACAAACCAGCATCTACTAAACTTTCTTGCAACCTCGCTGCAGTAGGATATTCACCCCTTATGAAATAGACGTAGACATGGTTTCTAACAGCATCTGCGTCCAATTAATCGATACCTGTTACTGGTTTGTTCTTTTTAGGTTTTCGTACCCAAAGGGTAACCAATGGGACCATATTACTAAGCCTCCGCTGTCCGTCAGTCTGTCTGTCTGTCAACAGTCTGTATCTCATGATCCGTAAAAGGTAGACAGTTCAAATGTTCACAGAATGAGTATTTCTGTTGCCGCTATAACAACAAATAATAAAAATAAATTGAAAATTAAAGGGAGCTCCCCTACTAAAAACGTGTGTGATGGTACAGAACCCTTCATGTGCGAGTCCGACTCGCACTTGTCCGGTTTTTTCGTATTTTCAGCGTCTGAAGTAAATTATTCTCACTGCCTGAAGGCCCATAGTTTTCAGTGACGATCTTGGCAACGATGCTTTTGCCAATTCCTAGTGCTTCACCGACACGATCCCGCACATGTGTCACTGGTAAAAGAGGCCCACCGTTGTGTGACTCATGTACGAAATATTAGTGTAATTTCACCACCAATGCATGACTGTTCAAAGTGAAATTACCGCAACTACGTTATCTTTTAGACATTATGGTCACTTGCTTAATCAAAGTCCAGTATATAACTTACCAAGGTCAACGAATATAGCAGAATCAGTCCAAAAAGTTATAGCTGAGTCACAAAATAGGACAAACACAAAATCACAAAAGTACGCACAGTAAACTCCCAAAATGGCGGGAGACTGGAATTACGAAGTGTTTTGTTCAGCGCGGCCTTGGATATATTTTTTGCCTACACAAATTTACGCCGACAAAGAAAATTATAAAAAAAAATAAACTTGTTTCATTCTCTAAATTTTCGAAAAAACAAAAGCATCGCTATGAAAAAAAAGAAAATACCATAGGCAACCAGTTGCAAATCAGTTGGTCAAGAATATGAATCCAGTACAAGGTGTGTTTCATTAGTTAACCACCTTTAAAAATACTTGATAAAGTTATGATTTATTAAAAATAATAGCTCATGGCAACTTATATAAACACAAAATTTTGAAAATAATACAACTTGATGACAGGAATTAGGAAATAATAGGTGATATTAATACATTTACAATAAAGAGGTTTGTAAGGATCGTGACACTTGGCGATCTGTTCTCTCTGGCTACCCCGTCAGGGATTGTGCGTGAAGATAAGTAAGTAAGTAAGTAAGTATATTAATACATTAACTTACCATGTCGACGTGTACGTTTAATACCGGCGCCAGATACAGCATTAAACATTTGTACACTTGTTTGAAGCTATGTGTGGCACGGGACTTTGAATCAATGTTCAAATAAGTGCACAAAGAAATGCACTTTGCCAAGCGGTTTCGGTTTTTTAGCGCACGTTCAAAGAAGACGACAGTGTTCAAATGATTGCGTAGCCTGCCAAACTTGTGAAAACGACGGTAGTGCGCAGCATGTTTTAAAAATAGGTCTAATCATAAAGACAGTAAAAAACAATCGAATGAATGTGATTTGTCGGTCAGTTTTTATGTGAAAATTTAAAGCTCTTGGATGAAGATGACAGACTAGTACTTATGAATGAAATAGATAATCTTGTATTTAAACATTTTATTGTATTGTTTTTATTGTATTATTTTTGCACATGTAATAAATAATGACATGCACTTGAATAACACGGGCGCACTGCATCCACAAAATCGTCGTCCATCTTGTTAGTCGTTTATCAACGTACTGTGGAGAGTGTTGTGTTATGTGTTTGCAAAGCAGTCTGGCAGGTTGCGCCAATAAGTGTTCAAACAAGTGTTCAAAGTCCTCCAAATAAGTCTTCAAATGTTGCTATATCTGGCGCCGGCTTAACTGTAATGACGGCTGAAAGGCAGAGAACGAGACTGATTGACAAAAAGAGCTAGGTAGCGATATTTTTCGTTCATTCTCGCAAAAAAAATTCGTAAGGTTGGTTATTATAGTCTAGGCAACAT